CGACCGAGAGCCCGGCAGCCGGCGGGACCCACCAGGCGACGGGCCCCAGCGGCCGACGGAGAAGCCGGCGACCATAGACAGTGACGGCCAGAGCCTACACCTGGCCGGATTACCATTGTACCCCTGGGGGTAGGCCTATATAAACCCCCGAGGGCACCAATGCAAATGGTTGGCCGCTTAGAGTTTCACACACACATATAGAGAGAGGAGTAGAGCTAGCCTTGCCCTTCTTCCTCCTCTAGCCGAACAGCTCAAGGAGCAACTTGTAGCTACTTGTCGATCTAGTGATCATGCAAAGACCCCGCAAAGCAGGACTAGGGGTGTTATATCCTAAGAGAGCCCCGAACCTGGGTAAGATTCACCGGCGTGCATGCTTACGCCTTATCCCGTTTCCAAGCACCACAATGTCTTACTAGCTCCCACAATGATTAGCCATCCTTTGGCATATGTCGCACCAACCACCCGACACATAACAATAACTTATGGGTTCATCCGAAAGTTTGACAAGAGACTAGATAGCTCAAGATTGGAATTTGCTCCTTCGACGATGGAGAGATATTCTTAGGGCCCTCTCATTGTGACGACATCCATCATCGTCTTGCCAAACATAGGTAACTATGTCACAGGGATGCCGGGATATTTCAACGAGAAAGAAGAACAATATCGGTAACGAGGATAACGGTATAATGAGCATGTGTATGACTCAAGAGGATACCGATAGATCTCACCTCGGGTTTTGTGAAGTATCGCGAAGCAAAGGAAATAACACATGATAACCAAAGGTTCACTCAAATGGCATTCGTGTACTCATAGGGATCGATATGGATGTCCACGGTTCCGTTATTGGTCATTGACCAAAGGGGTTTTGTTCATGTCTATGTTTTACCGAACCTACAGGGTCACAAGCTTAAGGTAATCACGTTTTGCTGAGTGTTAGTAGGACGGGGGTGACAAGGATTTATTCGTGAAATAGTTTCGTTAATATTCAAAATAGTTTCGAGAGGAACCAAAAGCGTTTCGGGGTCGCTGGAAGGGTTTCAGAGTTTATCGGGCAATACCGGATATTATCGATAAATAAAATATAGATGAAAAATGTTTCCGGGGATGTTAAATTAATAATAAAATACTCTAATAAATGTTAGGAGTCTTTTATAATTAATTAGATATGAATGGATGTTTTAGGCCAAGAGGTGGAAGGCAACTTGGGCCACAAGGGCCCAAGAGGGGAGGTGTCCCCCTTTCCCTATAAGGGAGACCGAGTTGGGGTGGGGAAGGACTCCCCTTCCCCTCCTTGTGGCGCCCCCTCCTCTCCCCTCTAACCTATATATACTAGAGGCTTTTGCACCTTTTCTCTACACAAGTTTTGGAGCCTCCTCTAGTCCTCTAGTTCTAGTTGGTTCTAATTGATCAATTAGAGTTTGACCTAGATCCTCTAATCCTCATATCTAGAAGCCAATTGTGGTTCTAAGCTCCTCCCTCTAATTTTTTGACGACGATTAAGTTCTGGACGACGAAGCACTGCCGGAACATGAAGACCGTACGCTTACAACTTGAAGAGAGACCGTGCTTTCGGTCTTCCATACGAGGGACTATTCGTGGATAGTTGATGGGATCATTCATCTACGGTTCGAGGGATTCCAAATACGATTTACATCGTTTCGTCTTCTTTCGCTGGAACTCGAAGGCGGTAACAATGGAATCCAAACCGTTAATGCATCTTCATATTGTTCATGGGTGATCATAGGGCGATTTTTTTATTTTACTTTCTACTATGTTTTCCAACACTCATGCACTACCAACATGCACATGTGCCCCATGCATGCATCACTGACACACATGCCCATGTAACAACGAGGGTTGGTTCTAATACAAATTGTAACGCTCTGGCCAAACCCAGTGATTCACCCACCAGTTCTTGGCCATTGTGCTTGGGATCTAAACTGGCCCTATAAACCCGAAGACGCTTTTGGGATGAACTTACTTGTGCACATTTGGGATCAACTTCCCAGTCATTCACCCATGCTCAAATTGCTCCAAGGCAAACACACTTAACTATAATGTTTCTTTAGGATGGCTTCTGAAACAAAAAAAGTACACCTTATTGATATAAATAGTCTATCATTCCTATTATGCCGGGATGTATTTCCGTTGATTACAAAATTAATGAAAAGGGGTTCGAACCCGGTTGGAAAAGAAAAATAGTGCACCATTTTTATTAAGCCGGGATGTCACAGCCGGACGGGACACCGGAGCGACGAAACACCATTGTCCGAAGGGAAGTGTTTAGGAACGGCGCACCGGCCGAACCGTTCCGCCGGTCCCACGCAGGCCACTCGATCGAAGCGACGCGCAGCGCATCGTACGCTCGCGCTCCTCCCGATCCTCTTCTTCCTCCTCCCGATCCCCTTCTTCCTCTTC